TTTCTTACCTATCAAGAACTTCTGGTCTAAGGTAGGTCAGACGATGACCAATTTGATATTGGAGCTTTTTCTCATACGGTTCATTCTGAATATATTCCTGATACCTGCAGATTACCCGGTAACAAAGCAGCATTGTTCCGAAGTGTTTTGTTGCTAAAAAATTAATCCTATGCAGTGGAAAAACTGATCCTCATCAACCATTGATACCAGGCTCAGTGATGTGGCTGATCTCATAGCTAACAACCAAATGGCATTCTGCAGAAGGTGAATGGCTGGAAATTTCAAAGCAATTTGGGCTGTCTTTTCAGAAGTGGCTCTCTAATGCAGAACTTGGAGATAAATATACACTTCCCTTCCTGTCCTTTTATCATAACCCACTCCGTGTGTTAGGATGAATCTTGTTCTTTGGTATATTTGTTGAAATTGAAAAACGCAAGGTTGATTATCATTTGTTATCTATTTACACTGTGATCAATTTGGGGTCAGGACAACATCTTCAGTCTGTTCTGTGAGCTGCCTGCACACTTTTGAGGCATCAGCTAAGTAATGACATTCATACATAACATTTTGAATTAGTGCCAGTATGATCGTTAGTGGCTGCTGTCATTTGGTTCTGAGTTTACGCTCTCATGTATCAGTTGTGCCTACCTTTCAGATATTACCAGTGTCCATTTGGTCATCTTACAGAACATAGGTACAATGACATGAAATGTCACATGCGCACCACATGCCCTAGTGTACTGATGTAGCGTCTACAGACCCCAATCAAGTAGTAGGGGCGCAGATACTCTCCATGCCCATACTGAAAAGATGGTTCCTCTCCAACCTGGTGGAGAAACTATTTCCTTTAACTAGTAAAACTACAGATTCTCTTCCCTTTCGACCATCACCCTTCTCATTTTCACTTATGGTAAACACTCTAAGCTCAAGACCACACAGAAACAACTTGATCATTGTCTTCGGTCCACCCTCTCCGGGGCACCTGGTGCTGGCCACTGTCGGCAGACAGGCTACTGGGCTAGATGGACCTTTGGTCTGACCCAGTACGACCATTCTTATATTCCCCCCTCTTGGGCAGGGGATCTAGCTTTGGCACCTTCTTTCCTGCATCCTTTTCTTCCTCTTCCATTGTGTTCTGTGGACGTGACTAAGGAAAGACTCGTGGGAGACAGTACCTTCACTTGTCTGTTCTCTAAACTTCCCAGCTTCACACCCACTGACAGTTTGTCAGGGGGAGTAAATGTTAAAAGGGTAAGAATTTCCATGGTCAGCTGGGAGGCAGGACATGTGAGTTCTGATCACACTGAGCCTCAGACTTCCTGTGCCTGAGACTTTACCTTTCTATTAGATTTCCCCACCTGCAAAAAATGTGATAATAGTTACTTGCCCCCAAAGTTGGGGGCAAGACTGTTTTGAGACCGTGGGGTAGAAGGTGATAAGGGAGTGCAAAGTATAGGCCTACACCAAAGCTGCCAGATGTAGGAGGGGCATGTAGGGCCTCCACACAGACCCACTAGGTACTTTCATCACCACCAGCATGACCTGATTGGCTGTTTTTGTCTCATAATGAGACTGGCTATTTGGGGGGATGTCAGGGGAGCAGGGAATGCTGTTAGTTTGCTTCATAAAATCTTTCTTACCTATCAAGAACTTCTGGTCTAAGGTAGGTCAGACGATGACCAATTTGATATTGGAGCTTTTTCTCATACGGTTCAATCTGAATATATTCCTGATACCTGCAGATTACCCGGTAACAAAGCAGCATTGTTCCGAAGTGTTTTGTTGCTAAAAAATTAATCCTATGCAGTGGAAAAACTGATCCTCATCAACCATTGATACCAGGCTCAGTGATGTGGCTGATCTCATAGCTAACAACCAAATGGCATTCTGCAGAAGGTGAATGGCTGGAAATTTCAAAGCAATTTGGGCTGTCTTTTCAGAAGTGGCTCTCTAATGCAGAACTTGGAGATAAATATACACTTCCCTTCCTGTCCTTTTATCATAACCCACTCCGTGTGTTAGGATGAATCTTGTTCTTTGGTATATTTGTTGTAATTGAAAAACGCAAGGTTGATTATCATTTGTTATCTATTTACACTGTGATCAATTTGGGGTCAGGACAACATCTTCAGTCTGTTCTGTGAGCTGCCTGCACACTTTTGAGGCATCAGCTAAGTAATGACATTCATACATAACATTTTGAATTAGTGCCAGTATGATCGTTAGTGGCTGCTGTCATTTGGTTCTGAGTTTACGCTCTCATGTATCAGTTGTGCCTACCTTTCAGATATTACCAGTGTCCATTTGGTCATCTTACAGAACATAGGTACAATGACATGAAATGTCACATGCGCACCACATGCCCTAGTGTACTGATGTAGCGTCTACAGACCCCAATCAAGTAGTAGGGGCGCAGATACTCTCCATGCCCATACTGAAAAGATGGTTCCTCTCCAACCTGGTGGAGAAACTATTTCCTTTAACTAGTAAAACTACAGATTCTCTTCCCTTTCGACCATCACCCTTCTCATTTTCACTTATGGTAAACACTCTAAGCTCAAGACCACACAGAAACATAAAATATGTAGCAGCATTTAGGAAATGGTATGATTTGGAACAAGCCAGGCTGTGACTCAGTGTGGGACAGGACCATGGAAACCACTGTGGTTCTGGGAGATGCCCTCTTCAGAAATTCCAGGAGGAAATAAGAATCACTGCAGAAACTCTCTGACTACTGATCAGAAAAAAGGTGAATTTTGTTTTTGGTACATAAAGATACAAATAGATCTCATTACATAAAGATTCTTATAGTGCCTACAAGTGTACTAGCCTAACTTGGAGAGCATAAAATAGGCTTCCGTCCTTCAAAAAGTTTATAATCTAGAATGTGGACATGACACTAGCGAGAGTAATAAGCAAAAAAGGGGTGAGGCTGATGTATTTCCACATGTCATACCCATGCTGCCTTCTCCCTCCTTAAAACCTGTCATCACCATTGCACAACTACTCGACCATTAGTTCTGCTTGAGTGTGTTACTTGTGTTTTGCCACTTGTGTCAAACTGTGCTGGGACATTGTTTATGCCCCTTGTATCCAGCCAATTCTGAAGCAGTAGCCACCGTACTGCTATAGCTAACTAGCCACACTCACTCAACCAGCCACATAGCCATATGTGACTAGTATGTTGGACACCAGGGGTCTATACTGAAGATCTGCCTGGCTTTCAGCCACCACTGTGGCTGCAACCACTAGTGCAGGTGTAACGGCCACTGGGCAGATTTGAACCTGGCACCTTGGAAGCTATAAAGCCAGCTGGCTCTCAGTTTAGGCTGTAGCGATCACTGAGTCTTATCTCTCATTGTAAGTGGTCTAAGTGCCACTACCTGGGACAATGAACCACCCTAGGCTGCATCTAGACTGGCAAGTTTTTCCACAAAAGCAAAAACTTGCCAGCTGTCTACACTGGCCGCTTGATTTTGCACAATAGCACTGACGTTCTACTGTCCAAAATCAGTGCTTCTTGCGCAAATGCTTTGACGTTCCCGTTCGGGCAAAAGCCCTTTTTCGGAACTGTTTTTGTGCAAGAGGGCCAGCGTAGACAGCTAAAAACTGTTTTGCGCAAAAAAGCCCCGATGGCGAAAATGGCGATCGGGGCTTTCTTGTGCAAAACCGTGTCTAGATTGGCATGGACGCTTTTCTGCAAAAAGTGCTTTTGCGGAAAAGTGTCCGTGCCAATCTAGATGTTCTTTTCCGCAAATGCTCTTAACGGAAAAACTTTTCCGTTAAAAGCATTTGTGGAAAATCATGCCAGTCTAGAGGTAGCCTAGGTGCGTGGGTTGCACAGGCAGACAAAGCTGCTCTTCTTATGGGGTAAGTTCCCCCTACTAGAAATTGTGCAACTTCTAGCAGTTTTGCCTCTGCTCGAGGGCACTCTGCACTGATGACTGTGCCCAGGGGGCCATCAATTGTAGACATGGCCTTGTCTGCGCTTTCTGAAGGGCTTCTTCCTGTCCATTTACGTCCCTGCATGTATCTTTAATCAGAAGCCTGGCTAAGGGTTTTAAATCAACCCCACGAGGTGTCTGCGGCAGCTCTTCCAAGCCTCCACCTTCTCTCTCAGCCAGATTCTAAGAGAGGCGAGTAACCTCTGCCCTTCCTTCCCCCTCTCTTCCTCCTCCCCCATCACGTTTCCTTTGCTTTCATTACTAAGTCGACGGGGCCCGCAGTGATGAGTGAGTGAGTCGAAGGCTGATGACTGGAGAATTTTTGAGGCGTTTTTCAACTTCCTCTGCTCAGGGCTGACTAACTCTACCGAGCAGCGCCTCTGCCTTCCCCTCTTCCTTCCCCCAGGCGCTGCTCACGGGAGGGGGGGGGGGGGGCTCTCTTCCTCTCTCCCCCCCCCCCACCCCGCCCCAGCTCCTGTGGCCCCAGCGTGGAGGGGGCGGGGGTTGCCCATATTTAGAACGTTGGTGGCGTCACTCTCCTTATATGGGCAGTGCCGTCAGGAGCCGGCGTTCCATTCAGATAAATTTCCTCCGCGGCGATCGGAATCCCCTGCTGCTTCGGTAGACATGCAAGTGCAGAGCGGAGCGCGCCGCAGCGCCAGGCAAGGGGATTAAGGGGGATCAGCTGGAGCCCCTCAAGCCCGCCCGTGCAAGCTCCCGGCCCCTGTAGCAGAGGGAACCCCCTCCTTCTTCCCCCCCCGCACCTTCAATTTAAGCCGAGCCCCGCTTGCAGCCTGACCCGCTGCCTGCGCTTCCTGGGCGGCGTTTGAGAAGAGCTCTGCTCGGCCCGGAGGGGCTGCGGCCGAAGCCCGCGATGAAGGTGACGGCTCTCGACTGCCGGCCGCGGCGGGAGGGCCCGCCGAGCGAGGACTCGACC